CATGAGACCAACCTGAACCACCATGAGACCAACCTGAACCACCCTCAGACCAACCTGAACCAACATGAGACCAACCTGAACCACCCTCAGACCAACCTGAACCACCATGAGACCAACCTGAACCACCATGAGACCAACCTGAACCACCCTCAGACCGACCTGAACCACCATGAGACCAATCTGAACCACCATGAGACCAACCTGAACCACCCTCAGACCAACCTGAACCACCATGAGACCAACCTGAACCACCATGAGACCAACCTGAACCACCCTCAGACTAACCTGAACCACCATGAGACCATCCTGAACCACCCTCAGACCAACCTGAACCACCCTCAGACCAAGCTGAACCACCATGAGACCAACCTGAACCACCATGAGACCAACCTGAACCACCATGAGACCAACCTGAACCACCATGAGACCAACCTGAACCACCATGAGACCAACCTGAACCACCCTCAGACTAACCTGAACCACCATGAGACCATCCTGAACCACCCTCAGACCAACCTGAACCACCCTCAGACCAACCTGAACCACCATGAGACCAACCTGAACCACCCTCAGACCAACCTGAACCACCATGAGACCAACCTGAACCACCATGAGACCAACCTGAACCACCATGAGACCAACCTGAACCACCCTCAGACCAACCAGAACCACCATGAGACCAACCTGAACCACCCTCAGACCAACATGAACCACCATGAGCCCAACCTGAACCACCATGAGCCCAACCTGAACCACCATGAGACCAACCTGAACCACCATGAGACCAACCTGAACCACCCTCAGACCAACCTGAACCACCATGAGACCAACCTGAACCACCATGAGACCAACCTGAACCACCCTCAGACCGACCTGAACCACCATGAGACCAATCTGAACCACCATGAGACCAACCTGAACCACCCTCAGACCAACCTGAACCACCATGAGACCAACCTGAACCACCATGAGACCAACCTGAACCACCATGAGACCAACCTGAACCACCCTCAGACCAACCTGAACCACCATGAGACCAACCTGAACCACCCTCAGACCAACCTGAACCACCCTCAGACCAAGCTGAACCACCATGAGACCAACCTGAACCACCATGAGACCAACCTGAACCACCATGAGACCAACCTGAACCACCCTCAGACCAACCTGAACCACCATGAGACCATCCTGAACCACCCTCAGACCAACCTGAACCACCCTCAGACCAACCTGAACCACCATGAGACCAACCTGAACCACCCTCAGACCAACCTGAACCACCATGAGACCAACCTGAACCACCATGAGACCAACCTGAACCACCATGAGACCAACCTGAACCACCCTCAGACCAACCAGAACCACCATGAGACCAACCTGAACCACCCTCAGACCAACATGAACCACCATGAGCCCAACCTGAACCACCATGAGACCAACCTGAACCACCATGAGACCAACCTGAACCACCATGAGACCAACCTGAACCACCATGAGACCAACCTGAACCACCATGAGACCAACCTGAACCACCCTCAGACCAACCTGAACCAACATGAGACCAACCTGAACCACCCTCAGACCAACCTGAACCACCATGAGACCAACCTGAACCACCATGAGACCAACCTGAACCACCCTCAGACCGACCTGAACCACCATGAGACCAATCTGAACCACCATGAGACCAACCTGAACCACCCTCAGACCAACCTGAACCACCATGAGACCAACCTGAACCACCATGAGACCAACCTGAACCACCCTCAGACTAACCTGAACCACCATGAGACCATCCTGAACCACCCTCAGACCAACCTGAACCACCCTCAGACCAAGCTGAACCACCATGAGACCAACCTGAACCACCATGAGACCAACCTGAACCACCATGAGACCAACCTGAACCACCATGAACCACCATGAGACCAACCTGAACCACCATGAGACCAACCTGAACCACCCTCAGACTAACCTGAACCACCATGAGACCATCCTGAACCACCCTCAGACCAACCTGAACCACCCTCAGACCAACCTGAACCACCATGAGACCAACCTGAACCACCCTCAGACCAACCTGAACCACCATGAGACCAACCTGAACCACCATGAGACCAACCTGAACCACCATGAGACCAACCTGAACCACCCTCAGACCAACCAGAACCACCATGAGACCAACCTGAACCACCCTCAGACCAACATGAACCACCATGAGCCCAACCTGAACCACCATGAGCCCAACCTGAACCACCCTCAGACCAACCTGAACCACCCTCAGACCAACCTGAACCACCATGAGACCAACCTGAACCACCCTCAGACCAACCTGAACCATCCTGAGACCCACCTGAACCACCATGAGACCAACCTGAACCACCCTGAGACCAACCTGAACCACCATGAGACCAACCTGAACCACCTGAGACCAACCTGAACCACCATGAGACCAACCTGAACCACCATGAGACCACCTGAACCACCCTCAGACTAACCTGAACCACCATGAGACCAACCTGAACCACCATGAGACCAACCTGAACCACCATGAGACCAACCTGAACCACCCTCAGACCAACCAGAACCACCATGAGACCAACCTGAACCACCCTCAGACCAACATGAACCACCATGAGCCCAACCTGAACCACCATGAGCCCAACCTGAACCACCCTCAGACCAACCTGAACCACCCTCAGACCAACCTGAACCACCATGAGACCAACCTGAACCACCATGAGCCCAACCTGAACCACCCTCAGACCAACCTGAACCACCATGAGACCAACCTGAACCACCCTCAGACCAACCTGAACCATCCTGAGACCCACCTGAACCACCATGAGACCAACCTGAACCACCCTGAGACCAACCTGAACCACCATGAGACCAACCTGAACCACCCTGAGACCAACCTGAACCACCATGAGACCAACCTGAACCACCATGAGACCAACCTGAACCACCCTGAGACCAACCTGAACCACCATGAGACCAACCTGAACCACCCTGAGACCAACCTGAACCACCCTGAGACCAACCTGAACCACCCTGAGACCAACCTGAATTCAAAATGATTCGAATAAAATTAATCAATACCTGTTTGATACCACAGCAGCAAAAATAGAAATTCTAATAACAAAATATTGCATACAGACAAATTCCAGCACACGGTCTAATTTGTACAATGGGAACATTTTGGTACCAAAAGCACCTTGACCCTCTGAAAAAGAACTGATCCTGAGGCGCTGGTGGATCCTGATGGAGGCTGATCGGGGTGCAGCACTCATCAATCTGAGCGCGTGCAGAATCAGAGTCTCACATGACAGGAAGTACAGAGAGGGTGTCAGGTCAGCCTCGTCCTGCACGGATCAGTTTCTCGACATCAGCTGATCTCTGAAACATTAAACCTCAGACCGCACGTAGAGTACATTTACAGGACGAGGATGTTCTGCTCTTTTATAGACAGGAAGCTGAAAATAACCCAGCTTCCTGTTTCAGCAGCTGTGTCTTAAGCTCTGGGGTAAAGACGTACAGTTCATCTTAACCAGTAGAGCGTAACGTCCAGACTGGCCTAAACAAAGTGTCAGAAATGAGGTTTGAACTCGATGCGACCAATCAGTGAGCAGCATTTCTCTCCCTGCAGTGTTTCCTCTCTGAGCGGATAACGGCTGAAAAGAAGTTATGTTCACTGACGTTCATCCACAAACACAAACTCTAATGTTTGTACGATATGAGAAAGCATCATGATGAGGGGAGAAATAAAGACTGACACACACACACACACCCAGAGGTCTGACAAAGGACAAGACTTGAAATAAGGACTTTAGACTTTTGTTTTTTTGTTTCCTGTAAAGTCAGGACATTTCTGTACAGAGGACCTTAGTCACAGGGTGTGTGTGTGTGTGTGTGTGTGTGTGTGTGTGTGTGTGTGTGTGTGTGTGTGTACCTCTACAGCTGCCTTGGCTCTGACAAACTCGTCCTCCAGAGACTCCTTTCTGGCCAGCAGGGAGCGAGTCCGTCTGCGCTGCCTGGACACCCCACAGTCCTGAAAGCACACACACACACACACACACACACACACACACACACACACACACACACACACACACACACACACACACACACACACACACACACACACACACACACACACACACACACGAAGGTCAGGCAGCAGCTGTCGGTGTGACAGAAAAGACAAACTAACAGACTCCAACAAAGAACAGAGTCAAAGTTTAATTTAAAGAGACATTAAAACAGCTGAAGTGACCTCTGAGGAAACCTTCCTTTGTCCCACGCTCCCTGAACTACACGCTGTGTTTGGTGGGTTTGATTCTAGGGGCTTGAATACATGATGCTCTGCAGCACAAGGTGTGTTTATATGGGGGAGAAAAGTGCTGGCTGTGCGCTCTGCTGTCCTTGGATGAAGTGTTGTGTTCTGAGAATTTTTTTTTACATGAAAATATGAAGCTACGAGCTAACGTAGCTAACATTAGCATGCTAACACAACAATGCAGCACACAGGTGACTGCAGCTCCAGCAAAGGACAATTTTGTCCGCCGCTTGCGCTTAACTGTCGTGCGAACTCAGTGTAGAGGGGAGTTGGAGGGTTGTCCCTGGAGGAGAGCGGGGGCTTCAGTATGGAGGAGGCGTGGCCTAATCTTAGCGGCTGTGAACGCTCTCTTCACATCGGAAGCAACTGAGATCTCCATGTAGACACCACCCTAAGGTTGTCAAACTCTTAAATACTTTTTTGATCCCACGTCTTTTAAACAATAAAATCTGTTATTTTAATGATAGAGAGAAAATAAAAAATCTCGGCACAAACTCCTGCACCCCGTCTCAATTGCACAAAAACGTGGGCAAGTTTCGGTGCGATATCAAAACAAGAAACTTAAAAATCAGGACGGTGACTACACTCCTGCAGTATTAAGTTTGATCAGCTTACCTGTGAAGAGGAAATGAAGTCGAGGTCATCGAAGCTGTGGATGTCGAAGGAGTTCTTATTCAGAGGGTCAGTTTTAAAGTCTGCAGACCTGAAGGAACAAAATACAAACATGGTGTCAGGGTGATATTAAATTAGGGACCCGGATCCAAGTACGCTTGTCCCTGAAGTCCAGTTCATTTGATCAATGTGAACACAAACGTACTGGACTCAGGTACAGAGCCCGAACCCGCTTGAAGAGGTGATGGTCTTTAGTTATCAGGTCTGCTCGTGGTACAGTCTCTAAATGTACTATGGGAGGTAGAGCCTTCAGTTATCAGGCCTGTTCGTGGTACAGTCTCTAAATGTACTATGGGAGGTAGAGCCTTCAGTTATCAGGTCTGCTCATGGTACAGTCTCTAAATGTACTATGGGAGGTAGAGCCTTCAGTTATCAGGCCTGTTCGTGGTACAGTCTCTAAATGTACTATGGGAGGTAGAGCCTTCAGTTATCAGGCCTGCTCGTGGTACCTATGGTCTCTAAATGTACTATGGGAGGTAGAGCCTTCAGTTATCAGGCCTGCTCGTGGTACCTACGGTCTCTAAATGTACTATGGGAGGTAGAGCCTTCAGTTATCAGACCTGCTCGTGGTACCTACAGTCTCTAAATGTACTATGGGAGGTAGAGCCTTCAGTTATCAGGCCTGCTCGTGGTACCTACAGTCTCTAAATGTACTATGGGAGGTAGAGCCTTCAGTTATCAGACCTGCTCATGGTACTGTCTCTAAATGTACTATGGGAGGTAGAGCCTTCAGTTATCAGGCCTGCTCGTGGTACCTACAGTCTCTAAATGTACTATGGGAGGTAGAGCCTTCAGTTATCAGGCCTGCTCGTGGTACCTACGGTCTCTAAATGTACTATGGGAGGTAGAGCCTTCAGTTATCAGGCCTGCTCGTGGTACCTACGGTCTCTAAATGTACTATGGGAGGTAGAGCCTTCAGTTATCAGACCTGCTCGTGGTACCTACGGTCTCTAAATGTACTATGGGAGGTAGAGCCTTCAGTTATCAGGCCTGCTCGTGGTACTACGGTCTCTAAATGTACTATGGGAGGTAGAGCCTTCAGTTATCAGACCTGCTCGTGGTACAGTCTCTAAATGTACTATGGGAGGTAGAGCCTTCAGTTATCAGGCCTGCTCGTGGTACCTACGGTCTCTAAATGTACTATGGGAGGTAGAGCCTTCAGTTATCAGGCCTGCTCGTGGTACCTACGGTCTCTAAATGTACTATGGGAGGTAGAGCCTTCAGTTATCAGACCTGCTCATGGTACTGTCTCTAAATGTACTATGGGAGGTAGAGCCTTCAGTTATCAGGCCTGCTCGTGGTACAGTCTCTAAATGTACTATGGGAGGTAGAGCCTTCAGTTATCAGGCCTGCTCGTGGTACCTACAGTCTCTAAATGTACTATGGGAGGTAGAGCCTTCAGTTATCAGGCCTGCTCGTGGTACCTACAGTCTCTAAATGTACTATGGGAGGTAGAGCCTTCAGTTATCAGACCTGCTCGTGGTACAGTCTCTAAATGTACTATGGGAGGTAGAGCCTTCAGTTATCAGGCCTGCTCGTGGTACCTACGGTCTCTAAATGTACTATGGGAGGTAGAGCCTTCAGTTATTAGTTAAATATGCGTCTTGTACTGAACGTTACAGTAGCAGTTTTCGCCCTTACTGATCCTCTGTTCACGCTCAGTCTGAAGCTGATATTTACCACAGCAGTTCGCTGGAGGAGTGGTGGGAGGTGCATCTCTTCTCGTACCTCCTGCGTCCTCCGTCCTCCATGTCCAGGTTCACATCGTCCCATTTGTCTAGTGGAGACGACAGACTGACTGCAAACACACAACGACAACACCATGTCACTGAAGAACGGATCGGAGGCTAACTGATGCTAACTTGCTGTGAATTGTCAGGTTTCACAGATTCAGCTGTGTGCCTGAATGTGTGTGTGTGTGTGTGTGTGTGTGTGTGTGTGTGTGTGTGTTTGGAGGACACTGAGGTGAAACAGGAAGTTAAACTCTCATCACAGTAAAAGCTCAGATTAAAAATCACTTATTTTTACTCACGACTGACTGAGTTCAAAGCTTTTAACCAAATGAGCGACGACATGAATCTAAAATAAAGTGCAGCTGAAGCGGAGGCGGAGTCTCTGACTGTGATGATGATGTTGGTCAAAACATCCAGGAGACAGCTGAGGACTTTTTTTATAAACGTATCTGAGCAGGCGATGAACTTGCAAGAACTGCTCCCCCCTCCTCAAGTAAGACTACCCAAATGTTGGAAGGGACCATAGTCAAGACCAGAATTTTAAAAAGTGTTTGTGCTTGATACCATGGCAACAAAAATGGAAGTCCTACACGGATTACATGATTTATTTTTGATTAATAAACGTTGCAGAAAGATTCTTGCAAATTGTCTAAATTGTATAAAAACATCGGCAATGTTGGGATTTGTGTGTTTTACAGCTCCTGTACCTGAGTCCAGGGAGATCCTCTCAGGTGTCCTGGGACTGGCCGGCAGGTGTTCCACCTCCACCTGGATCAGCTCTGTCTCGTCAGGTTTGGTGCGTCGTCGGGGGCTCTTGGAGCTGCCCTTCCTCCTCAGAGGACTCCTCCTCGGCTCCTTTTTACAGACCCCTCCTCCTCCTCCTCCTCCTCCTCCATCACTGCCCCCGCTGCTCTCCCCCGGCTCACTGAGGTCCACCAGGTCCAGAGCTGTGGACAGGACTGCAGGACCACATAAAAAAACACAACATAATGTGAAGCAATATAAAACATCAATCAGTCGGTCAAACCTCTGAGTCTGTGTCGTCTCACATCCTGAAACATCCCATTTCTTTTTTTACCCAATCTGATGGCTTAATAAACACATTTGAATTGACTTGAA